TGTCTGGAAACATCTCATTGTCGCTTTAATGTTTTCGTGTAGAGTTTCCACAAGACCCTTTGAAGTGTAATACTTCATCTTCAGGTGACGGTGGAAGGCACGACTACCAATTTGGCCAGAGTTAGCTGCCCAAAAATGCATTGGTATAGAGATGGAAAGTCGATGACCAGAAACTGGATCTTGATAGACCTATCCGTTTCAGCGGACCTGAAAGTCACGATCAACTCTACGTAACCCCAAGGCTTCGTCACAGACCCATTGAAACTCTGCAGATCAGAGGCCACATAGGGAGTCAGGTGTGATTCGTCCAACTAGAGAGTGGAGAACAGTTGGGAATACATGATATCAACTGAGTTGCCCTGATCGACGAGGATTCTCCGGACATCAAAATTGGCCATCTAGACTCTCACGAGTAGAGGGATGCTGGCATTGTGGGCTCCGCCGAAGAGTTCCTCGCGGTAGAAGCAGATGGGAACAGACTCTCCCCGAACCCTGTCGAGGGTGGAGTTTCGGTTCGAGTTGTTATTGATAAGTTGCTCAAACTTTCTTTTGATGGACCCTACCGTAACCTTGTTGAAGCTCTCTCCGAAGATGACCATGACGGAGGGGAAGGTCTCCCATGGGCTGTGTGCAGCGAATTAGGGAGGGCGCTGAGCCCATTAAGGATGTAGAAGTCCTCAGGCCGTGAGATGCTCATAGCAACCTGAAGGCTGGTTTCTTTTGAGGAAGACACTCATTCCTCAACCTTCTTAGACTCTTGAGCGTCTTGGCGATGAACATCCTTCCTTTTGACAAACTGCTTTAAATGTTCATCCCTGATCAGTATCTCGATGGCATCCTTCAAGTGGATGCAATCGTCGGTCATATGGTTGTGGTTCTTGTGGAACCGACAATACTTCGACTTATCAGTGTTTGGCTTGGATGGTATTTATTTAGGGAACCGGACTCCCGCTTTCCAGAATTCTGAGTTGGCACACTCGAAAAGGATTTTTTCTCGAGAGACTACCAGGGAAGCATATTCATGGAACCGACCAGAATGCCCTTTGTTGTCTCGGGGATCCTAGGGGCGGTCTTCGCGTCTTCTATCCCCTCGACAAGATGTCGATGGTTCGTCGGGCTTGGAGGTTTGGGCACTCTCCCGGTACTTTGAATCCCAGGCGGAGCAGGAGGTCTCCTTCTCCTCGTACTGGATGTATGTTTGTACTTTGAGGAGGAAAGCGTCCAACATTGTTAAGGGCTGAATGCCCACAACTTTGGCAAATTCAGTACAGGGATGGAGCCAGCACTTGAGCAGAAATTTCTTCATGTCGTCATTCATGGAGACCTGGATAACTTCCTTGTTGAACCTTTTGATATAGGCTCGAAGAGGTTCATCCTTCCCTTGAATGATGGCCTTAAGGGAAGCTTCGGTCTTTGGGTGTCGGCGAGAAGCCGTGAAGTGTCTGGAGAACATTCTCCCCAATTGCCTCCATGATGTGATGGAATCGCCGAGGAGTCTCTTGTACCAAGTCATTGCTCTTTTCTTGAGCATGGTCGGGAACAATCTACATTTGATGGTGCCTCGGATGCCACGGTAATCGAGCAACGCATCGACATTTTTGATGTGCTCGTCAGGGTCCGTAGTACCATCGTATGTAACCAAAGAAGAGGGTTTCTCCAGTCCCTTCAGCAAGCGCATAGCCATAATCTCCTAGGACAACGGGGTCGTGAGGCTTGTCGTCTCCGCTGTTGCTGGACCATGACGGGGAGCGGGTGCCTCGTCTATAGGTAGGATGGTGATCTCGACAGGGAGATGAAGTTCGTGATCGGCCCTTGGATTTAGATGGAGGCGAACACTAGGACTCTACTCGTGGATCTCTTCTAGTCCTCTTGGGTCGCGGCGAATTCTGGTTCCGGGGAGAGATGTGGTCGCGCTTTCTGACAGTCTAGATTTCTGGCTCTATAGGTGCCTAGCGGTTCCTTTCACGTCAGGGAGGAGGACTTCGTGATCTCTGACATTTTTTCCTTGACGAAGGAGATTTTGGACGACTGGAATCCTCTAGGGCTCCAACCCTCACATTCTGATGGAGGATTATGAGTTTGGTCTAGTTTAGAGCCTCGATGAGGGTCGTCATGGTCGGGTCGCCGCTGGGAGGAATTGGAACTAGCAGGTGCTCCGGGATGAGCTGGACCTCATTATGATCAGCGCGAACGGGGGAAGGAGAAGCGGTGGCTCCATCCTTTTGTTGGTGAGCGTCGCCTTCAAGAGAGGTAGTTGCTCCGTTAGTATCAGTCTTGCTAACGGGGAGGAAGGCAGAGTTGCGAGCATCATGGATGTTGTCACGGCTGGCCATGATCGAAGTTTGGAAGAATTATTTTGGTCTCGAATCTACGATGGAAGAAAGACGGGGATAACAGAGTTTCTCATAGACGACACCACTGATCTTGACGGCTGATCAGAACCTGAAGTGGGTAAGAGACAATCGTCTGTGATGCTGAGTGTGATAGAGGATGAGCGGGTGTACCTGTAAGGCACTTTAATGCTAAAGTAAGAATCGGGAGAAAGAAGACAAGTACAAAATATATGTGTATCAAGGTGAATATTGAATACCTGACCCTCTCAAATGAGAGGGTTTTTATAGTGCCCCAAACGCTTGGCCACTGGTCCCTATTTTCAAGGTGAGATAATCGTTTCCCGAAGAATAGGTGATCGTACTTGACCATAGAGATTGATGGGCTGCCACTCGTCTGAGCTATCGAACTTGTTGACTTGATGGACAAAGGGGGATGTACCTGAAACACACTCTGATGTCAAAGTAAGTGATGAACAGAGTGATAACAAGTACAAAGAGAAGAGTAAGAAAGTTGAGTTACCCGACCCTCTAGTGGAAGAGAGTATTTATAATGAGCCTCCGGCGCAGAGCCAACGGTTACTCTGCGTTGGGCTGGGCTTCCAGGCCCAACGTTGGTAATTGCTAGGGCTGACGTGGCGTCGTGAAGACCAGCACGTGGTCTTCGCCCTAGGGTAACTGTTCTGCGCTATCCGGAAGGTGGAAGACCGAATCTCTAGAACGTGGGTAGTTACTTGATGACGTGTCCCTGCGTGGGGGACTCGTAGAGAACGTGGGAGAGGTCTGAGGAGCTCACCGGACAGGCTGGGATCTGCCCGACGACGGGGGAGAAAGAGGCTGGTCAGACACCTGCGAGGGTCCTGTCCGACAGCTTTGGCCTATGTCCGACGGAGGAAGATGTTGTGTCCGACAGATCTTCTGCCCGTTTGTGAGGTCTTATTAGGTCTAAATCCAGTGGGATTTGGGCCTGCTCGATTGTGGGGTAAATATCGGTCCAGTCCAGAACTATATATATATATATATATATATATATATATATATATATATATATATATATATATATATATATATATATATATATATATATATATATATATATATATATATATATATATATATATATATATATATATATATATATATATATATAAACATTTGTCTTCACCTCTAGTATTTGATACACTAGACCAATTAACCTGTTTTGATTTAGTTCATAGTTTTTTGAACATCCCTAATTATGTCCAAAAGTTTCTTTCACATATAACAAACTCATTTAAATAAACTCAATGCTCTCCTTCCAAACTAAATAGCTAAATCATTCTATAATTGTCAAAGAGATTTTGCCAAGCTAACTATGTATTGGAACTTGTTACACACTTAATTAGGATATCCAATCTCTTTGAAATGCTTGTATTTCCTACGAGTCAAGTAGAGATCTAAAATGAGATAAAGAAAAAGAGCATATGAGAAAATCATTTAATATGAAAAACAATTCAAACTCGTGACAAGTGTGCATGAGTATACACATTCATTCCTCTATAAGCAACCATTGTTCTTCTAAAAGTTGTAATTTTCATGCCTATAATGACCAGTCACTCCAATCATGAGTTGTTATCAACAATCACAACATCATATATTGATTACATGAAGTTAAAATGATTGAATGAAAATGAAAACTACAAGTATAGAACAATTCTATGTAATTTGTAGTGGTGGCAAAATAAATGGATTAGATGAATATGAATTGTTAATGGATGGATGAAAACAATTCATTAGTTTATTAATAATCCATTAAATTTTTTTTAAAATTATTCAATCAAATCCATCAGTTAAAAATAAAATTCATCAAATTCATCCATTAACATATTTTTAATGGATGAATATCCATCTATTTAACTTTTTTTTTATTTCAAAAAACAAATGTATTTTTCATTAAATTTTTGAAAATTTTATATTTTGTATTTTAAATAAAATTATTTTTTAATATATTCATACTTTTGTTTAAAGGAAAAAATTGTTTTTTGCATTTTAAAGAAAAATAGTTGATATTTTAATTTTTGAAAAAAATTATTTTTGGGAAATTTTGAATTTTCCAAAAAATTGATATTTTAATTTTTTTTAAATAGTTTTTTTTTCAGGAAGAAAATCTGTTTTTTTTTTATAAAAAAGTCGATTTTTTGTTTAAAAAAAATCGTTTTTTTTTCGAAAAAAATGAGTTTTTTATTTTAGAAAGAAATGTTTTTTTTTTGGAAAAAAATCAATTCTTTTTTTTTTTAAATTTATTTTTAATTATTTTTTAAAAAATAAATTTAAAAAACATAAAATAATTCATTGGATCATTAAAATATGTTGGATAAATTGAATTCATCATGCATATAAATGGATGGATTTAATCCAATCCATTAACTTATTTTTTATGTGGTGGATAAATTTGATAAATTTTTTATAGATGAATTGGATGGATTTTATTTTAATGAATCTAATTGCCACTCTCAAGTAATTAGTAGTCATACAAACCAAAATAAAAATGCTTTGTGTGATTATCAATAACAATATTTTAGTAGTCACATGTTGCACATATCTTTCTGACGTCATGAGACGTGTGGTATATTTCTTTATTTCTTTTTAGGACTAAAAATGTAGTAACTTTTTAGAGGAAAAAAAATCTCTTCATGATGTTTGACTCAGCTTATGAATACCCTCTCCATCAAGTTTCTTGCCAAGCAAGGTTTGTGCACGCTTCAAACATGAAAGATACTCATTCTTTATTTCAGGTGAATCACCAATGGACTTCTTATGTACAACAAACTGCAAAACAACCGGGGAGTTTTGATACTAAATATTCAAAAACACCATTGATTAAAAAAAAACATCTAAGTCAATCAAAAATAAGCACACTCCCTAGAAAAACTAGACTCAAAATAGTTTGTTCGTTCTTACCTCGTTGTAAGCAGCAATGCATTGTAGAAGTGCCTCTTTAGCCTTAAGGTTAATTTCCACTTCCTACTTGGCAAAATAGAAATATGAGTTAAGAAGAATTGCACTCATTCAGCTTTAAATTTAGTTGTGCCGCTACAATTCAAGTTTATTACAAAATCGGCTAGTAAAGTAAAAGATGCATCTCACCCACTAACAATATTTTCAAAGCCGACATATAAGGTGAAGAATGTTTGTCACTTATAAATTTGGTATTGTGTGCTTGCTGGAAACCCAGCAAGCACATACAAAAATACTAAGAGAAAAAAGCAGCCACACACACAAACAAAATGATTGTTGTATTAATTGATGAAATAGTGGAATTACAGAAAGGGAAATGACCTTAGATCTAACACAGAGCAAGCTCCTATAGGTGGTTAGAGTCTCCTATTCATGACTAAGCTAACAGAATATTTTCCAAGGTAATCCTCTCAACCTCTCACCCATTCCTTATATTGTGGAATCGTACAATCATTCTCTCTCTGCACCTCTAACAGAATTACTGCTCTTTCCCCTTTTTGCCCCTTCTAGAATACATTCTCCATACCTTAGGCCCATTGGGCTGATGATAAACCATAACCTCATTTGTCTCATTCCGTGTCACGTGGTCTCTATCAATACTCCCTTATGAAACTTCAACCTTGTCCTCAAGGTGAAATGTCGGGAACTGACTTCTAATGTCACAACATCCTCCCAAGTTGCTTCATTTGTGGTCTGACCCTTCCACTGCACTAACCACTGCTGCACTTCTTCGCTTTGTTTCGTAACCTTCCTAGACACTAACACCTTGTCAGGTTCTGGCATAACAGGTTCTTCACCTTCCACCTGGTCAGGCAATTCCTCGTCACCCTGATAATTTCCTACGGCTTTCTTAAGCAAAGACACATGAAAAACGGGGTGGATTTTTTACCCTTCAGGTAGCTTTAGCTTATATGCTACAACACCAACTCTGTCAATCATCGGGTATGGACCAAAATACCGTGCTGCTAACTTGGCATGAATACGGGAAACCACAGACTGTTGTCTATGTGCCGTGCCCTTAGTTTAACAAACACCCACTCTCCAATCTCAAAGGATTTTTCGACTCTGTTAGCATCTGCCTGCGCTTTCATTCTGCTTTGAGCCTTTAGCAACTGATCTTGCAATTGCCGCAAAGCCTCATCTCTGTCCTGTAACTCCCTTGAAACAACCTCAACACGTGTCTCGCCAATTCCCCAACGAACCAAAACAGGTGCCTTCCTTCCATATACAACCTCAAAAGGGGTCTGTTGGGTTGCGGAATGATACGTGGTATTGAACCAGAATTCTGCCCATGAAATCCAATTCATCCACACCTTGGGTTGATCGGCAGCAAAACAACGAAGATAGGTTTCGAGACAACGATTAACTACCTCGGTTTGTCCATCGGACTCGGGATGATAGGCTGAACTAAACTTCAAATGTGTTCCCTGTAATTTGAAGAGTTCTTTCTCTCCAAAAATGACTCATGAATATAGGGTCCCGATCGCTCACAATTGACATTGGGATACCGTGCAGCCTAATAATTTCTATGACAAATATCTCAGCAAGACTTCTGGCCGTATAAGGGTGTTTGAGGGGCACAAAGTGGGAATACTTAGATAGCCTATCGACTACCACCATCACCGCTTCATACCCTTTGGATTTAGGCAGCCCTGTTATGAAATCCATTGATAAGTCTTCCCACACCTTCGTTGGAATTGGTAGAGGTTGGAGAAGACCTCCTGGAGATGATGCTACATATTTATGTCTCTGATAAGTATCACACCCTTTTACAAATTCTTTCCCTGCCAATATACATTAGCAGTTATTCTTCTGCAAGTTCTCAAGAACCTTGAATGCCCTCCTTGAGGTGAACTATGAAATTCCTTCAGCATTCTCGGAATCAACGTAGACTGTGATGACATAACTAACCTCCCTTTGAATAGCAACGTGCCATGTTGTATATTGAACTTAGGATGTGTTGTAGGGTCCACTGATAAATCATGCCAAATTTTCTTAAGCTTCTCATCAGAATGTATCTCCTGCTGCACCTGCTGAAACTCTTCCCAAAATGGATAGGATACAAAATTATTGAATTCACCTTCTTCTTGAATTCGTGATAAAGCATCTGCTCCTTGATTCAATCTCCCAGGCTTGTAACGTATGTCAAAACTGAAACCCAACAACTTAGCTACCCAATTTTGTTGCTCACCAGTTATGATTTTTTGTTCTAACAAATCCTTAAGACTTCTTTGATCAGCCGACACCACAAATTTCCTTCCCAATAAATAGGGCCTCCAATGTTGGATCGCTAACACACAAGCCATCGATTCTTTCTCGTATGCAGATTTTGCAAAGTTTCTCACACCTAAAGTCTTACAAAAGTAAGCAATAGGACTTTTACCTTGTCGCAAAATAGCCCCAACGCCAATTCCCGATGCATCACACTCAATAACAAATTCCTTCTCAAAATCCGGCAAAACAAGCACCGGTGCCTCTATCAATTTCTTCTTCAACAATTCAAAAGCATGTTGTGCCTCTCGTCCCCATCCAAACGCATCCTTCTTGGTCAATTCCGTTAGGGGCTTCGCTATTTTTCCATAATCACGAATGAATTTTCTATAATAGCCGGTTAATCCCAAAAATCCTCTCACCCCTTTACATTCTTTGGTACCGGCCACTGCACCACGCTACTGTACTTGTTGGAATCCACTAAAAATCATAACTGGTAGTCTTCTGTGTCCTTATCCGCTAAAAATGCGACCGAAACAATTTCACAAAAGTAGAAGTTATCGTACTCGCTTATAGAACGAGAGACTCGTTCACGGTTTGAGTTGCAGGTATACTCCAGATACCCCTGGAGAAAAATTATACCAAATTCACTGATGATTGCACTGAGCGGTGGAACCTTTCCACAACATCCTAGCCAAATATTTCTATTGAAAACACTTAAATCACGCTCACTAGCTCGAAGCCACGAGGGACAGACGAAATTGAGTGAGCCTAAAGAAAGAGGAAAAGAAAATCTTGAGCGTAAAGAAAGATGAAATTCAGAGTCTCCCGGTAAAGCCAATTTTCTGATGTTTCTTCACGAGAATCTTGATTTACGGAAGATTCTTGTATTTCTTGAAGACAAACATCCAAAGGTATTAAGACGAATTTTCCATACACCTCTTCCGTCTCCTTATCTGCTAAAAATGCGACCGAAATAATTTCACAGAAGTAGAAGTTATCGTACTCGCTTATAGAACGAGAGACTTGTTCACAGTTTGATTTACAAGGTATGCTCCACTGGAGAAAAAGTATTCCAATTCACCGGTGATTGCACTGAATGGAACCCTTCCACAACATCCTAGCCAGATATTTCTATTGAAAACACTCAAATCACCCTCACTGGAACTAGAGTTCGAAGCCACGAGGGACACGCAAAATTGAGTGAGAGAGTTTGATTTACAAGGTATGCTCCACTGGAGAAAAAGTATTCCAATTCACCGGTGATTGCACTGAATGGAACCCTTCCACAACATCCTAGCCAGATATTTCTATTGAAAACACTCAAATCACCCTCACTGGAACTAGAGTTCGAAGCCACGAGGGACACGCAAAATTGAGTGAGAGAGCCGAAAGAAAGAGGAAACAGAGATAGAGGAAAAGAAAATCGTGAGCGTAAAGAAAGATGAAATTCAGAGTCTTCTGATAAAGCGAATTTTCTGCTGTTTCCTCACGAGAATCTTGATTTATGGAAGATTCTTGTATTTCTTGACGACAAACATCCAAATGTCTTAAGACGAATTTTCCATACACCTCTTTTTGTGTCTTTATCCGCTAAAAATGCGACCGAAACAATTTCACAATTCACACGAGTAGAAGTTGTTGTACTCGCTTATAGAACGAGAGACTTGTTCACAGTTTGAGTTGCAACAACTCAAACTGTTAACAAGTCTCTCGTTCTATAAGCGAGTACAACAACTTCTACTAGTGTGAATTGTGAAATTGTTTCGGTCGCATTTTTAGCGGATAAGGACAGGACACAAAAAAAAGGTGTATGGAAAATTAGAACTTTCATTGTTTGTCTTCAAAAAATACAAGAATCTTCTATAAATCAAGATTCTCGTGAGGAAACATCCGAAAGAATTTCATCTTTCGTTACGCTCACGATTTTCTTTTCCTCTATCTCTGTTTTCTCCTTCTTTAGACTCTCACTCAATTTTGCGTGTCCCTCATGGCTTAGAGCTCCAGTTCCAGTGAGTGTGATTTGAGTGTTTTCAATAGAAATATTTGGCTAGGATGCTGTGGAAGAATTCCATTCAATGCGATCACAGGTGAATTGGTATACTTTTTCTCCAGGGGTATCTGGAGCATACTGTAAATCAAACTGTGAACAAGTCTCTCGTTCTATAAGCGAGTACGATAACTTCTACTTCTGTGAAATTATTTCGGTCGCAATTTTAGCAGATAAGGAGACGGAAGAGGTATATGGAAAATTCGTCTTAAGACCTTTGGATGTTTGTCTTCAAGAAATACAAGAATCTTCCATAAATCAAGATTCTCAGCAGAAAATTGGCTTTACCGAAAAACTCTGAATTTCATCTTTCTTTACGCTCACGATTTTCTTTTCCTCTCTCTGTTTCCTCTTTCTTTAGGATCTCTCCCTCAATTTCACGTGTCCCTCATGACTTCGAGCTCTAGTTCCAGTGAGTGATTTGAGTGTTTTCATTAGAAATATTTGGCTAGGCTTCGAGCTCTAGTTCCAGTGATTTGAGTGTTTTCATTAGAAATATTTGGCTAGGATGTTATGGAAGATTCCATTCAGTGCAATCACCAGTAAATTCCATTCAGTGCAATCACCAGTAAATTGATATACTTTTCGCCAGGGTATAAGCGAGTACGATAACTTCTACTCCTGTGAAATTGTTCCGGTCACATTTTTAGCTGATAAGGACACAGAAGAGGTGTATAAAAAAGTTGTGATGTACAAATACCTTGTATAGTGAATGTTTCTTTTGCGTGACAACTTTGATTTAATA